GAAAATCGAAGAACAACGATAAGAGGAAAAATTAATTGATGCAGTTTTTGCAAACAATGACAATTTTTGTTTATGTAACTCTATTAAGATAGAAAAAGAAACATTTGACCAATGGGTAACCAGTGATTGCAATTATACAATCGCAATTTTCTTTCTTTCTTAATTATGCATAGTTCTTTTTTTGGTTTTATTATCTAATTGTCAGCATTTTAAGAAAATGGTATAGGATTTCTTTATTAATTCTATTCTTAGTGTTAGAATACTTGAAGATTAGAAAAAAAAAGGGTTAAAATCACGCTTTCTTAACATAATCACTTTAAAACATTGATTTAAAAGCCGGAAATATTTCCTGAATTTAAATTAATTATTGTGCGGAACTTGTTCACCACTTATTATGATTAATAAATAATTTTCAATTTTATGACTATTAAAATTTTAAGATTCAAAAATTAAATAATTTGAATCTAAAAAAACTTAATTTTGCTCTCTTAAGAAAGTAATTTTGAAATGTACATTTCTTAGCCAAAAATAGATTTAAAACAAATCAATTTATGTGAGTTGTGGCAAGAGTTAATAAAAATGAAACTATTTTTTCTCGTAAATAAATGCAGAATTTGATTGAAAAATTACACTTAATATAGTGTACGGCTTATGAAAAACGAAACTAAATGTAATAACCTTGGCCAAAGATACGTACAAAGAATATATACTTTGTTCGCCAAGGTAATAACGATATCAACAAAAAAAAAGTTCGCCAAAACGCCTGCATAATTTCCGTGACAATCACATTTTAGCATTAGAAATTCACTTTTTTTAAAATTTTATTTTATAACCGTCGTTGAACAGCCGACCCAATTTCATGGGTTTATGACTACTTATGTTCAACTCCGTAGCCTTGTAATTCTGAACCAATCCAGAAGACAAGGAAACTCCTGGATCAGTACCCCCAGAGGTATTGATTTGTTGTGGGAACATGGAGGACTTTGAGACTCGACAGATTTAACGTGCATCAGTCACCATTTACTACAAGGGGAGTCTTCGGCCGGTGAGGATCGAACCCACGAAGTCTTGGACATGGGCCCAGCGCCCTACCAGGCAATCCCGGCCCTCTAGCAATTCACTTTGGAGGTTCTCTGAATTATGCCAAATTTATTATATATTATATTGCCAAATTTATTATATATTATTATTACAAAATATATTATTATGACGCCAACTTCTTATAGGGCGTGGTCCATGTAGATGGAACAATGCAAAATCACTTCTAGAAGTCATCAAAAATTAAATGGATTGATCTGTGAATAATCACAGAGCAATCCTTTTTTCGGAAAAAAGAAAAAGAACTTAATTTTTTTCGATAAATATTTTTCACACACTGATTTAAAGTATTCGAAAATAGAGCTTTGTTGTGTTGTAGGAGACGATTTCGAATAGTTTTACAAAATCTAGAATTTTAATTATTTTGAAAGGTATACCACAGACAACTGGAAATAACGAGTTTTGGTTGTTTCCACCCCGCGCAACAAGTGTGTTGTGGAAAGATTACTAACTTCTGGTAAAATGTGCCTTTGTTCAACCGTATACGAGTTTTTAAAGTTTTTTGTTCAGCAGACGAAACATTTTATTAAACTTCATAACATTCCTTTTATCTTAAGAGAAAGTCAACAATGCATATATTTTCTTCTTTTTATACCTAAATCCAAAAAATTTAAATTAATACTGTCGTCATGATTACGAAGCATGATTTAATTCCTCGGGGTTAATATTATTTGACATAATGGTATAGTTTTTAAAATTAAGGATAATTAAATCATCAGTACATCTAAAAACTAATTTAAGTATAGTTTTTTTCATAAAAGCGTGAATATATGAAGTAACGAAAGTTTTGATTCTTGTGGTATTCCATCTATTTGAATAAAAAAGTGTTATCCATCATAATGATAATTATTAAAAATACATATATGACTTAGAATTTCCCAATATTCAGTATCACTATTAAGGATATTTTTATAATCATCTTAATTACTCAAAAGAATATCCTTTAGATTAGAATTGGGTATATTATTATAAAGATCCTGGAAATCAACTGTCGCAATTGAATTAATTTTGTTTAATGAGCTCTACCCGGTGCGTAGCGTTTTTAAAAAACTGCTTAAAGGTGCTTATTTCCGATTTTCGTCTTTTAAAAAGTGCTTAAAGGAGCTTTTTTCACTAGGTGTTTTTTAAAAATGCTTAATTTTTCCTTTTCGAAAAGGAGATTTTTTTTCTTTACCATGTCAATTTTCGCCATGTAATATGCAAAAGCGTGCCTCTTTATGTTCTATTCAGCTTTTTCACAATTCATTCGACCACTATTTATTTCGGTGTACCGTCGGTTCATAGCGTATAAAAGCGCCAATCATTATACATGTTTGATGAAATACTTGCGAGTCCGCATGTGAATTCGGTGAGATTCTACCACTCTTATGTGCAACTCTGCTGCATTTTGCAAAATATTCTCTATTTTAGGGTTCATTTTACACCCTCTGAAATCGAACTGAAAACTCTCTCAATTGTGTTGACTAATATAACCAAGAAAAGAGTTCTTTATCCGAAACTATTTGTTTTATCATGATCATGTAGAGCAATGGTTCCAAAACTTTTTTGACCCATGGACCCCTTTTAATAGTCAATACTTGCCCACGAACCCCCAAGTGAAAAACTGCATATATGTACGGTGTAAAAATTACAAATTTAAAGAAAAAAAACATTTTGTTGAAGAACTATTTATTCAAATTATATCCTTTGTTTAAAATAAAATAAAAAATTGATGAATTGGATGAACGTGATGAGATTTTCATAGTGCATTTATGTCCGGCTCAATGTTCGTGAGCACTAATTTCTAATCATTTATTTATTTTTTGTGATGAGGTTCATTACGGCACTGAAATTGAGAGAACGATATCCTCTTCCCAAGTTTTGCTTATACAGAAAAAGTTTTGCAACAAACGCAGTTTTACGATTTTAGTTTTGATTAAATCTCATCTTGTAGTTTCAAATTAGTTTCGTTAAGTTAGGCAAATGTACTGAAAATACATTCGCCGCTGCAAATTGTTTTAAGTTAGCCAGAAAACCTCGATAACTTCCTACCATTGCCGGAGCATCGTCAGTAGCTGTAGAAATGATATTAGTCGAGGGTATGGCTTTTAATTCAGTCAATAGCATTTCACCTTTCGTATCACTTTCCAAACATTTAGTAAATAACAATTCTTGGTAAAATTTTTATTCTTTTACAAATCTTACATAAATTAAAAGTAAAAGCTTCGTTTCCTGGATAAGTAGACTCGTCAAACTGTATAGAAAATTCAGATATTTTTGAGTACTCACATAAAGAATTTTCTACGCACTGAGATATTTTGTCAATCCTTCTTTGTACATTATTATTACTCCGTGGAATTCTTTTTACAATGATAAAAGCTGGTTTGTGCTACCGGATGAGTATTATCTCACCTACAGCTAGTAAAATAAGTTCTTCTATAGTGTGAAGCTTTCCGGACTTAGTAATATATAGAAAAATGCCAAACTATGAGAAACATGCAATCCATCGTCACCTCGCTTAGATGTTGTCCCTATAAGTTGTTGCAGTGACGGTGTTTTCAGATATTTTTTTTTTGTCTGTTTGAAAAATAGTTAAATCTTTATCTTTTTTGTCACTATGGATTTGTATCAATTGTTCGTTAAGCTTGGAATGTTTCATTGAATCACTTGTTATAGTTTTATAGAAGGCACATAGGTAAGGTACTATTTCCTGGTGAAGAAATAAAGACATACTTGAAATATTCAACACTGTATTTTCGGCCATTTTTCTTCGACTCATTCATACTGTTATCTCTTAAAAAGGGAACAAAAGATATAAGAAAGTTTTTAAATCAACTGTTTAATTTGTAACAAACCACTGTTAATAATTATGAGTACCCACCTTTATTTGTAGTTTACTTAGGACGTAAAAATCGCGACTATTTTATTCATCTTAATTTCCATCACAATTTAAAACCAATCACAATTTTATTATTTTATATTAAACCTGAGGCGGACCCCCTGACGTTGTTCGAGGACCACTAAATCAGTTTTTATTTTACACGGACCCCCTTAATGGTACCACGGACCCGTCCATATGGACCACTTTGGGAAATACTGATGTAGAGTGTTTGAAAATTAGTTTGTATTTTGTTAATGTATATAGTGCTTAAAGATATTTTTTCAGTGCTTAAAAAGTACTTAAAAGGTGCTTATTTTTTATTGAAAAATTTGGCTACGCACCCTACTCCAAATAGGTTAATTATTGGTGATAATCCATGAAAAATCTTCTTTAGTAATGTAAAATATTTTATTTATGTAAAAGTGAAAAAGCAATATTAATTACCATTGTATTATATTGTGTTGTGCAAAATATTTTATAGAGTGTTAGACATTTAAAAACCACAAAGCTTTCAGAGTTTTTTCAAAATTTTGCCATTAAATTTAAATCCTCGCCACGAAAAAACGTTGCATATATGAATTTGAAAGTCATTTATATGTAATGCCGTGGAAAATATGTTAAAATGAATAAAAATAATACTTTAAAACATAAACTTAGCTACCACAAGTTTAAATTTTTACAAAAAGCGTAGAAATTTGGCAGTATTGTTGTTTTNTTTTTTTTTTTTTTTTGCTTCTCTCAATAGTCGTATGAAAGTGATGATCCGTGGTAGCTACTTCTGTGGCCGACTTAAATAAAATTAAAAACTTACTGCAAATTTCTGCTTCTATTGCAAGCTAAGAAAAAATCCATTATTCCTATGAAAAGAGCCTGTTTACATCTAAGTGCACCACAAATGGATTTCAAGCCCCCAGCTCAAACATACATCAACATCACCAATTCTTGAGACCACGTTGAATAGCCCTCTTTTATCTTGCTTTTTATCTATACATAATAATAAACGCGGCTGTGTGTGTGTGTGTCTGTAATCACAATATATCACCCCAGAAGCCTCGCCCGGGCACGAAACTCGGCCCATAATTGTGNAATTTTGACTCAGCTTGGTAAACAAGCAGATTTTCTCTACGCAAGAAGTTTTCCATCTTTGCAGAAAATTCATTCACAAATTCCTTAAAATTAGAAATCTGATCATCTTTCACAAATGATGAAATCATCTCACTGTCCATTTTGAGTCTTTTTTCATCTCTACTGGATCTCTGAGTAGTTTTTATTTCACTCAAATAAGGGGGACATCCATCAAATATGCATGGATATGCATCTTCAGTTAAAATAGGGCGTTCTCGTTTTATTTTATGAGTGATTCCTTTGGAGTCTGTAAAATCTTCTTCCCTGATGATCATATGATTTTGGAAATGCTTTTCGCACACCACTGAATGTTTAGATGGTGTAAAGTTTTGCCGAGGGATTTTACGTAGCCACAATTTCTTCCTTTCCTCATTTCTAGGAAATTTAAAAACACTGACATACTCGACACTAGCAGCTTTTGATGTATAATTAGACTTGCAAGCAGGCACACAACAACGGTCCGGCATTGCTAACACTAAAATCTTTTAACGATGTTTAAAAACAGTAATAATTGTGAAATTTCAACAATATAAAAATGTAAACAAAACAATAAGAAAGTTTTACAAAAGAAACTCAAAAATTATAACAAGAAATTAGATAATTCGCTCGAAAATGATCGTATTTATCGCACTGTATACATAAGTAAACAACGCGCATTGCAAAGTTGCTGCGGTCGAGATTACACTTGATGGAAGGCGGACGACTAGCTATGAGTCATCAAAGATTCGGCGGTAGCCGTCATGGCCTTCTATCTTCTCGGAGGTTACGATTTGACTCTATTAGCTCCGACAGCATATATGAATTTGAAAGTCATTTTTATGTAATGCCGTGGAAAATATGTTAAAATGAATAAAAATAATACTTTAAAACATAAACTTAGCTACCACAAGTTTGAATTTTTACAAAAAGCGTAGAAATTTGGCAGTATTGTTTTTTTTTTTTTTTTTTTTTTTTTTTTTNTTTTGCTTCTATTGCAAGCTAAGAAAAAATCCATTATTCCTATGAAAAGAGCCTGTTTACATCTAAGTGCACGACAAATGGATTTCAAGCCCCCAGCTCAAACATACATCAACATCACCAATTCTTTAGACCACGTTGAATAGCCCTCTTTTATCTTGCTTTTTATTAATAATAAAAATAACAGTTATGGGCAACAATAATCAATTGACAAGTAATAAGAATTAATATGAATGATTTTTTAAAATCGTAACAAATATGCATCTTTCTGTTAGTATTTAAATGAACTGATGAAAAAATAACAAATATTGTTTCTTTTAGACAATTTTTTTTTTCTACATCGAAACAAAAAGTATAAAAAAAAAAATATATATATTCTTTATCTCGCATTTGACTTAAGGGCATGTCAGCATGAGACACACTATTTTTAGTGGTCTAATCAAATCCAATACTCTTGCAATTTTCATGTAGTTGTTTCTTTTTCAAGAACAAATGTTCTTTTTATTGGACATTCGTTCAATAAAAAGAAATTCAATAACGTAGAATTCCTGGAGAAATTCTATAACGTAGTCATCCTCTCTGACTCCAAAGCCGCAGTCCAAGCTATTGCTTCCTCCGAAGCCCTCGCATCTGCCGACATTTTACATTGTCGTCAAGCCCTTCACAGGCTTGACCAACACAACAAAAATGCCGCCATGCTATGGGTACCAGCGCACTGTGGACTTCAAGGTAACGAAACTGCAGATTTCTTGGCCAGAAAAGCAGCCAAGATTCTACAAATATCTCCTAAGCCAGTTCCTTTCTACACCTCAAAAAGGCTAATTAAAATCTCTCTTCGAACAACATTTGAGGCAAAACTCCAAGAAGCAAATAAAGATAAGGACTGGCTGGTAGGAATCAAAGATATTCCGTCATGGCCAAGAGAAAAATCTATGGCCCTTTTTCGCCTTGCCACAGGCCATGACTGTTTATGAAAACACCTGTACCGAATCAAAATCTTTTCAAGCCCCTTTTGTCTATTATGTAACCTGCAAGAAGAAATGGAGGCTAACCATCTGAGACGTTGCCCTGCAATTCCTCCTGGGCCATTGTGGGAACGTTATTGGCGGGCGAGATGCATTATCAATGACCTATAGACTCTTCCTTTTGTAGCTCTTGTTTCCGTTTTTTGTTCTTTCTTTGTATTGTTCTCAGCTGCAAATTTGTCTTTCATGTCTGCCATTGGGAATAAAAAAAATGTTCTTTTTATCGAAATATGTCGCCAAGTCTAGGATTCTAGACTGCTAAACTATAACCCATTTTTAATAATCCTATGACAGATATCGTAAAATTCTGCCTGATTTGTTAAACTTATAATAGTTTTATATTGTTTTGAAAGCATATTTGTATTATATGATCACGAAATAAAACGGAATTATATGTTTACCTAAATGCTATACCGTAATGGTCCTTTCTTAACTTTCAAAGGAGCTTAACTCCCCTGTGACTAGTTTTAACCCCTTTATCGAAAGTGAGTGCAGTTGCCTCAAGGATTGATAAGGTTCTAAATAATCGAGTAGTCCTGATCAAAAATATGTTGTCTGTACCTCTTGCTGATTTTAGCTTTTTGTTCTGATTTAAAAATAATCGATTTTTAGAATAGAAAAATATGGAATTTCGTCCCATCATCGTTTTATTTTCGTTAATAATGCTTCAGAAAATCGCAAATTTCGATAAAATTATCTTAGGAATTGTTAATTGTATTTTATAGATTGTTTCTAACTTTTTGGAACTTAAGTCATTTTATGGGAAAAAAAGTCAATTAACAATTTTGCGTTGTCAAACTTTAATGGGAATTATGTACCTGCCAACCTTACTCCTGAAAAATAATTTTCCTATGTGGTAATCATGTGATAATTGAACAATCTATTGCAACTANGCTTAAATCAGATTTCTGATGCATCGCTTGGAATGAAAGTCGCTGTATCGGTTTGCCGATATAGGCGTTAAATCGATATGTCGCGATATATCGATTTATAGCCCAGTCCTAATTGCAACCAAAAATATTTTTACTTCTTGCTAGCAAGTTTTGTTAATTTAAATCAATTGATTTTTTTGAAAAGAATCATTGAGTTAATTCGAATGATAATTTTAAGAAGAAATTATAAATTTAAAAAAATTACAAGGCATTAAAATATAGAATTATTTACGTTTTCTTTTCATTGTTTTAAAATTTATAATAAATATATTGCTGTGTTAATGATTTTCATTTGGCAATATACATTATTTTTAGGTTTGTAATAAATTACAGCTCCATCCGGAATCACATTCTAAAAATCTTATAATTATTTGGAATTTTCAGAATACAAATAAAGAACGAAGTGAAATTTTAATAATTATTTTTTATGCTTTTAAAACATCTATCTTAAAAACCACATTTTATTTTACTAGTGCAAATATCTTCTAGTAAATATAATTTTAATGGAAAATTTTCTAATTGGCTTTTAAAAAAAACGGTTTTAAGATTAATTAAATATTTTATTAAGGTATAAGGCATTACAATTTATTATATCATTTTGAACGTTTAGTAACAATAATAGGTGAAATCAATATTGTAATTGTTGTTTATTTAAACCTGTTTTTCAGTTGTTAATAATGATAAATTTCCATTTTTAATAATTGTAAGTCTTGGAATTACATTTATTCTGTATTACTACAAAACTATTTTTAAAGTAGTAATGTAGATTCATTGTTTTCGCCTTGTAATATATCTACTATAATTATGAAATTCAACGAATCGTGAAACGAAATTTCTCAAGTTAATCTTTAAAAAAAATTATCTTTTAATCACAAAATATTTCTTAAATCACATTATTAATCTAATTTTTTTTAAAAAATTTAAAAACTTATATTGCAATTTTTCCGAAAATATTTATTTTTTATTTCGAAAAGAGAATTCGACTTAACAAGGTTTTGAGAAGAAACACTTTGACATAGGAATTTAAATTAACCTTAGGTGGATATATGATGCCAAGGGGGAAAATATTTTTTCGACATAACAAGGTTTTCGAAAAATCAAATTTCGATATATGTATATAGAGTATACTGTAATTCTAACTTAAAAGAATAAGAACGAAACGAAATCCAGACAAAAAAAAGTAATAGTTTTGCTTCTTTATGTCTAAAACAAATTATTCCTAAAAATCCTTATGAATCTGCTGCGATGGAATGTATTCAAGAGTCATACTCTTATTTATTATTTTCTGATGCTTTGTGTACTTTAAAAATCAAGTATCGAATCAGATAGGATGTCGAACCTCATTTGAGAAAAAAATAAACATCATTACCTCCTAATATGAAATTATGTGATGACAAACAACGTCATCATTCGTACCAAAGACAAAATATGTGGAATCAAAGTTTACTTCATTTTCTAAAGTTATAAATGAATATAACTGTTAATTTTTTAATTACTTATATTTTTCTTGTATAATTGTTTTGCAATTTTTTGTATAAAATATAAATATTCTGTTAATAAATGAGTTTTTTTTCTTCATAAGGTGGTGAATCACGAAAGATTTTAAAACCTCCAACCGGACCGCGGTCAAGAAAGTGTGAGAAACACTGAGCTACTACTGGTAATTCTTTTTTCATGACAAGTGACTATATAAATTTTCAAATTATTTTGAGTTGTTCCTTATCCAATTCGCTAAATTATTTTGGAAACTGCTTAAACGTTCTGTTCAAACCAAGTAATTTTGAAATTAACAAGAGTCTGTTTTGTTTTATTTTTTTCTTTAAAAAAATTTCCGTTATTATACTGAAGTTCATTTAATAATACCTTTTTAAATGTACTCTGGTAATGTCTTGATTTTTTTCTATAGCCCATTATTAGACCTATAAATAGATTATTTACCTGAATTTTATTCATCCCTTTATTAGGTCTATAAAAAGTTTGTTTGAAAGAAAAATATAGAAATATATTTACTGAATAACAGCACTATCACCTGTCTGCTAAACTTTCAGTGCATTTTGTTTTTCTATGTTCTTGAAAGAAAAATATAGAAATATATTTACTGAATAGCAGTGCTATCCTACCTGTCCGCTAATCTTTCAGTGCATTTTGTTTTTCTATGCAAACAATGAACTTACAGAAAAAAACAATTTTGTTATTTTAAAGTTTAATTGTTCGTAATGCTAATTTTTATTTTTATTTAAACATTGGTGTTTTATGTATTTAATCCTTTTGATGATAAGTCAACTTAGTAGTAAATTTAATATTTTAATGAAAGAAAATGAATATAGTTTAAAATGATTTAAATTAAAAACAAAACCGTTATAGGGCAAAAGAAGATTCAAAATTAATTAAATTACTTCAACATTAAGATATTTATGTGTGGAAATTTTATAAATAATAAATGTTCAATTTTTTATATCTAAATAAATCACTTTCTAAGCTACAAAGATTAGGAGACGAAATTACTAAAAGTCAGCAGTTAAAAATTTGCGTAGCCTCCATTTCTCGTTTTAATACAGTGTGGCGGCATGATATCTCGTACTCACAGTGTGCTAAGTGCCGAAAAAAAATGATAGAAAAATATCTTGTATTTGTGGTGAAATCGACACGAGTATTTATTAAATAGGCGATTAGAAAGTCACACGTGTTATAATCAGGGCTGATTGTGTTCCGGAAAAAATCCGGATTTCCGGAATTTTTGCTATCAGTGATCCGGAAGTTTCCGGAGATCGAAGGTCCAGAAGTTTAAAAGAAAATCATTGATCACAGAAGTTTCCGGAAATCAAATTTTCAATGGCGGAACTTAAAAACACAGTTTACTTTATTTGTTTGTAAGGGAGAGCCAGAAAGGTACTTTATAAGCTTATATTCATGATTAATATTAATTTTTTATCAGTAAATAGTTGTTATAATCCTAAACTCTAGAAAGAAAGACATATTTGTAAATTTTAATTTCTTCTCCAGGTCATCATAGGTATATGTAAATGGTATAGGTATGTGTAAAATTTTAAATATATTTTGAGTAAACTAAGAAATATTGAGAAAAAGGGAAAAAAAAACTTGTTCAAATGTTTTTCTAATTTTTCAATTTAAACTGTTTTTGTTTTTTTTTTTAACTCAAGAAATTTTCCGGAATTTTGACTTGGGCTCACAATCACCCCTGGAACCCATAATGTTAACTTTTCTTTTATGCATATTTCACCATATCTTGAGAAGTTTTTGTGTGAATTGAAAAATTTGGCTCAAAATTATAAAATTTGTTTTTCAGAAGATAATTCCATGCAAAAATAAATTTTAGTTGATGCTTATTATATTTATAATTTTTTATTATTTCTTTTAATAATACTCGAAAGAATTTTGAATTGTTTGGTGTGCAATTTTTTACATCATTTTAAAGTATTTAATTTCGCATGGCAATATACTAAAATTTAAGCGAAATCCTGAGAAAAGGATGTACTGTTATATAATACAATATTCATATACAATAGTTCCCAAGAAATATGAATATAGAATAAAAAATACGATACAATACAGAATGAATATACACTAATACAATAATTCCTGAGAAATGNAAATTTGTCCCGAATTTCGGAAACGACAACAATCAATGCGAATATTCATGGGAATGATTTTAATAGTTGGAGTAAAGATCAGGTCTTAATAAGTCAACTTAGTAGTAAATTAAATATTTTAATGAAAGAAAATGAATATAGTTTAAAATGATTTAAATTCAAAACAAGACCATTATAGTGCAAAACAAGATTCAAAATTAATTAAATTACTTTAACATTAAGATATTTATATGTAGTAAATTTTTAGAAATAATAAATGTAAAATTTTTTATATCTAGATAAAGCACATTTTAAGTTACAAAGATTAAGAGACGAAATTACTAAAAGTGAGCAGTTAAAAATTTACGAAGCCTCCACTTTTCGAATATCGTTTGAATACAGTGTGGCGGCATGGTATCTCGTACGC